TATATATATATATATATATATATATATATATATATATATATATATATATATAAAGCTGAGGCTCTTAGACCCGAATTGCAATCGAGATCCGAATTTTCAAACTGCATTTGGGAGCTACCGAATGCCATTCGGGTCTGTGTTTAGTTTTATGTATATATGAGTCACAATGTTGCCGCTACGAATATTCGTTCGCATTATAGAATACTACTTATATATACACATAACAGTATAACTGATGCTCCAAGACGCGAATGGAGTCCGAATTTCCAAATAGCATTCGAGAGCTCCTGAATGCCATTTGGGTCTGGAAGCCTCAGTTTTAATATGGCTCCCGAATGGTAATCGGAAATTCACGCTCCTGAATGCCATTCGGGTCGGCGCTTCAGCTTTAGTATTAATATCTGTATATGGTTTTCTGTGGTATTCGTAAAGTCATCCAAAACTAACGAAAATTCAGATTTTGTACGAAACCCAAACCGAATTTAATTTCAGATCCGAATCCCTAATCCTGAAATAACCAAATATCCGAACCGAACCAAATTTTTCCGCAGTTTACACGTCTACAATTTAGTAAACTAAACATGAGATTGTAGTCCATCACGGGGGTGAAACTTGGAGCAGTGGCTACTTTACAACACACACAGGGACCATGGGGAACAAAAGTAGCCCCCCTCCAAAAGGAAGGACTGTGTCAGCACCAATTCAGAGATGATTTGAGGATCTACAGCCGAGTGGTACACAAATAAGATACATTTTTGTAAATAGTTAAGGTACTTGAATGGATTTTTAAGGTTTCACTCTTGAGTTTAGTGTCACTTTAATGGCACTCCAACGCTTCTTCATTGCAGTTCACTGCAATGCATAACACCACATTTCTGTGCCTTGCTTTATGCTATTACAAAAAATGGTGCATTTCTAGTACTTGTGAGATTTACAGGATCTGCAGTCAGTGTTAGCCATAGAATCGCCGCATTCAGCCATTCCTCTGGAATATGTATTCATCTTATTTTATATCTGTATATTTTCACAGGGAGACTCTGGTGGACCACTGATCTGCAACGGAGTGCTGAGGGGTATTGTATCTTTTGGCGAGGAGAACTGTGGTGTTCTTGGAAATGTGGCGGTCTATACTAACTTAAATAGCAAAATATTGTGCTGGATAAAAAAACACCTGAGTGGCTTTCCTTAAAGAAATATGCTATCTTTATTAATAATTTGCTACAGCGTATATATTTGATGCAAAAGTTTACCTTTTCATTTTGATCAGCAGGTTTTTTTAAAAACAAAAAAACAAACAGAATGTTAATCCTTGTTCATGTGATTGGCACAGTGCTTTTCAAAGAAATTTGCACTTTTTTAATGACTTCTGCTAAATTGCTTCTCATGTATATAACTAAGCGCCAAAAACTTTTTTTTTTTTTCAACAAAAAAAGTTGCTTTACTTTACCAAAAAACCAATAGGAATTTGAATTTGTAAGAATCGAGATTTCCACTTTATTGTAGCCTTCATTCCCAGAAAAAGCTATGTTTGTGCTATTTTTTACTTGTTTTCTCTCCATGTCAATGGAATATAGACTCCATGTAGGCTGACCTGAATCCTTTGTGAGCTAAGTCCTAATAATCTAGGTCAGTGCTCCCCAACCTTTTTATCTGCGCGGACCGGTCAACGTTTGATAATTTTACCGCGGCCCAGCAAATTGGCGTTCAAGTGGCGAAGCAGTTTTGAAGGTTTCATTGCCTCATTAGAGAGCTGGTCGCCGCAAACTATACAGAGCGGTTTTGGTGTGTGGGAATCACCTGTCCCGATAAATCCATATTTCAAGTAGGACTCATGGTATTGTCTGTTAAAAGTTACATGTTTCTTTGATGTTGAAGGTCCTTCTTCTGTCTCTTCACTGGGCCTTTTCTTTTTCCCAAGGAAACTTTCTAACGACGTCTGTTTCGTACTCATTTTTGCTAATTTGTGGGTTAAATTTGAGCAAACACAATATACACGTACACCAAGCACTGTTAAACATGAGAAAGTACCGGTGAACAGAGAGAAGAGCGATACACACCTTCTCTTTACCAAAGCTACAACGCCACTGCCGCTTGCAGCCGCTCAGCTCCAGACGTCACCTAAAACCGCCCCGATATCACGATATTTTGCGCATGCGCGGTATTCATGTCCCCAGAACTACATCTCCTAAGAGCCCTTTTTGTACACACAGTGTGTGAGCGTACACCAAGTGTGTGAGCGGGTTTTCGGGAGTCAAAGCAGCAGACATGTTTTGCTGAGAAATAAATTAATGTATGCATGTGGAGTGAGACAGACACTGGTGTGGTATAGGTGGAGTTCTGTAGTTTAGCAGGCAGGGCTGCTAGGGATTTCAGAAAACATACTGTGTTGCCACCGCTAAAAGGGAGTTGGAAGCTTACTGGATTTCTGGCAGATCAACAGTTATTATACATTTGCAGCTTTTTAAAAAGAATGAAACATGGGAGAAGTGCATGTATTGTACTGGATGCAATGAGGTGGAGACCAGGAGCAGGTGCCCCGAGTGCCCCTGTGCTAGCGAAGCCCATGGCTTTCCTCATAGGCTGTGCTTCGGATTTGTAGTACAAACTCCTTCACCTTCCCCTCTCCTAATCAACATAAAGAAAGGAGGAGTTGTTTTGTAGTTCACAAAAGATCGCTGGATAGGATGATAATATTGCTTGAGATTTTAGTTCAGTGCACAAATAGTTATAAGGACACAACATTTCTGGCGGGATCAGCAGGGTTTTGTTTTGTACTTGCAGAAAATGTACTCAGCCTAAAAAAAATCATGCAGTCACCACATTCAAAAATTGGTAAACTGCAATGTATTACATTTTCATTCTATGGATTAAGTACACATTAATAATAGTACCTTCCCATAGTTTTGACTTATTAGAACTTATTATATTTTGTAGAGCTGGGACTCTTTTTTCCATCAAACCGATTGGAAAAAAAGTCCCGGCCTATAAAAAGAATCACACAAACCCTACCGTGAAGCTTGAAGGTGGAACTGTTTGGGCGGTTGAGTTACAGAGGCTCAGAAAATGTTATCAAAATTGATAGCAGGGTGAATTCAGCATATTATACGAAAATCTGAATTTATTAGTTGAGAAGCTCTGCATTTGGACTTTCCAACATAACAATGATCTGAACTAGAAGGCCAAGTTAATCTTTCAGTGGCTGCAGCAGAAAAAAAATGAATGTTCTATAGCAGTCATCACAATTTCCTGACCCATGTATTATTGAACCACGTTGGGGAGATCTTAAAGGAGAACTATGGGGTTAAGGCTTTTCCCCATAGTTCTCCTTAGGGTAACGGGAGGACACAAACTAGCGTCCTCCCGTCACCCTAGGCTCAGTATACCGCTAGCTGTAGCTCGCGGTATACTGAGACGCCGCAGTATACCGCGAGCAGCTGCTCACGGTACACTGAGACGCCGCAGCTGCAGCAGATCCCGACAATTGTGCCGGGATCCGCCCAGCTGCGTGACTGACAACTGGCTCTGCCTATCTAGAGGCAGAGCCAGCTGTAACCGCCCACTCCCGTTCCGCCAGTCAGCGCTGGAGGATCAGAGCGGGGAGGGGGGAATCCAGCCTCTCCCCTGTCACGGCAGAGAGCCGTGACAGGATCGAGAGGTGAGCGAACGCCGGTATGTGTTCGCTCATCTCCCGATCTACTGAGCCGACCTGTGACAGTCTCATTGTCACAGGTCGGCTAGAACTATGAGGTGAGTGAAAAGCACTCACCTCGTAGTTCTCCTTTAAGCATGCAGTTCATGTAAAACAACCAAAGAGTTTACAGGACCTGGTGGCTTTTTGACAGGAATATTTTTACACAGAGCTTTACATGTACACATTCTCATTAGTGCCTGCCCTCAAGGAGCTTACATTCTAAGGTCCCTCTCTCACATGTATACATATGAGGGCCGATTTAGACAGAAGCAAATTAACCTACAAGCATGTCTCAGGAGTGTGGGAGGAAACCCACGCAAGCACAGGGAAAACATGCAAACTCCTTGCAGATAGTGACCTGGCCAGTGTGTAGGGAGAAATGATGATCCCTGTTGAATCACATTTTCAGTGTATTATTATGCTTAATGAAACATATTATGGAATGTATCTCATAAGTAAGACTGTTTAGTAAATATGGTATAAGATAAGGCACACTACCAGAAGTAAATTATACGACATCTAAAATGACAGGTTAAAGATATTCCACTATACAGTGGCGTAACAACCGGGGGGGCGGCCGGTGTGTCTGCT